ATAGGAACATAAAAGGATTTAATTCTCAAAGGATTATTATTACTATAGAAAAGATAATTCATAATAAAACGCACTTAACCCCTATGAGATTATATAGATGTATATAAGCATACATACACGAGTATACACACTCTCTTGTATTTATCATGATAAGCTTTTTTAGTTATACAAATATTTGAAAAGAATAATATGAATAGGTACAATTCTATATACATGAATGTATGTACCTATGGTTAATGAAGCTGATGACATAGTAGACGACCTCGAAATGGACTAACTAAATACTACCATTATTCAAGAGTAAAAGATTAAATAATAATACAAAAAAAGAGATAAACTTGGATGTCTTTATAGAAGATAATGAAAAGAATCATGTCTATCCTATACAGATACTTTATAACTCTTTAAAATCAATGAAATTTATATGTATATATATAAAAGAAATAACAAGTCGACTATCGATAGTCAATGGTTCATTTAGTTTTGGGAATAAAACAAATAATAGATTAGTTCTATAAATAAAATGATGATGTAATGTATATTAGTTATAGGTGATTGGTATAATTCTATCAGCATTGAAGATTAAGTCAATAAATAATAAGTAATAGTTTGAATAGTTCAGTGGTAATATTTTTAGCTGTAGCATTATGTATTGCAGGTTTAGATCCTGTTTAGAACAACTATTCCCTTACAATGAAGAAATATCTTCTCAATGAGTGATAACCGGAAATTCTTGTTGACTTTCTTTAACATTATTGTCATTGTCTTATTTAGATTCACGTATTAGAATCCATTTACTATGTGAATAATCATTTTTAAAGACTGTTAGAACATTTTCCTTGGCTGTAGAATTTACAATGGGATCATAAAATAATTAGAACTAACGTGATATAAGGGGGAGATATGTGTAGGGTTCATCGTACATTATCAAATTATAAATATCGAAATTACCTTTAAAAAATGTTAAAGATATTAAGTGTGATTATTGATTAAGTTCAGTATGCAATGCTTTGTAATCCTCAAATGTATGATATCATCTATCCAAAGAACTGGGTATTTTTAACGAATAAACACAGTTTAGCTAACAGTTGTCATTTAACTACATTTAACCATCAATCCATAAATATACATAACTCAAAGCTGTCTACTAGACGGGTTTAACTATAAAAAAACAAAATGAAACTAAACCTGTTATTTATTTGATGGGTCATGAAAAACTATTCAACTAGATAACATTAGAATATTCATTTCTGCTAGTAAATCAATGCTTCCTTAATGACACAAAATTAGAGCACCAACAAACAGACAGTAGAATACATAACTCCGTTGTCAAATACAGGTCAACAAGGACAGTCCTGATTTAGAAGTTTCTGTAAGAGAGCGAATTAAATTACCTGGTTGCGTTATTTAAAGTAGATGGATTCACGTCTACGATTATAGAGCTGATAATAAAGTGCGATGATCAATATGATACAACCTCAAAAATAGTTATTTTGTATATGCAGAATTTATACTTCAAGAGTGAGTCACATGTCATCTTGGAAGCGGACTAAAATAAAAAAACTTTAAATCTTAAAAATTTAATATACTACATTTATTGAATAATTTATGATATACCCTTCTGGGGCGCATAAGATGGATGTACCTGCATTCCGGAGTTGATGTTCACTCTGGAATTCGAATCAGTTTCCATTCGCTTCGAACGCCATTGTGTTATCTACTTAGCTACTGAGTCCTAATAGACATTTCACTGTACAATGGAGTGAAGTTTAAATCCACTTGTTACTGTTTACTTGAATCTTCCAGTCGATGTTTAGCACTGCAATTGATCAGTCTCTTATTGGCATATGTGTATACTGTGAGTATTGCCTCGATATTGCCTTAATTCACAAGCTAAGTAGATAATGGAATAGCGTTTGAAGTCAACAGTCTTAGAGCCAACATCAACTCTGAGATGCAGGTACATCCAGCTGATGAGTCCCGAATAGGACGAGACGAGCGTCATGGATTTCACTGCTAGCCACTATTCATCTTTGAATTAATGCAATATCAAGGCAATACTCACAGTATACACATATGTGAATAAGAGACTGGTCAATTGCAGAGCTAAATATCAACTGGAAGAGTCAAGTAAACAATATCAAGTGAATTTGACCTTAGCTATTACGTTAATATTTTACAGGAGCAATAAAAATTCTAAATAAAAATGTGAGCTTTATAGGATAATGATTTCTATGAATTACTCTGTTCTGCATATTACAACACATGCAGTCCAAGTTACAGATAACTTATAAACAAAGTTACTCAGATTCAGATTTGTGTAGTAAGGACAGAAGGCCTATGGCCTATGTTATTCCTTTTCTAGTATGCTTTTGTGAGTGTCCAGTCTTCTCTTGAAAGCGTCAATTGAAGGTGCGGACACCACTGCTTCAGGCAGCAGGTTCCAAGTATTGATGACTCGGTGTGAAAACCTGTATGCCACGAGTATTTTGTTCGTTCTTGGCTTTTCTACTCGCCTGCTATGTCCTCTGAGGTGTCCCGATCTAGTGGGAAGAAAGAGAATAAGTTAGGTCCGAAATCATTTCTCAGTATTCTGTACATCAAAATTAGATCTCCTCTTAGTCTGCGATAGGACAGAGTAAAGAGGTCCAGTTTTTCAAGCCGCTCTTTGTATGAATTGCACGGGTAGCTGCTTTCTGTACTTTTTCTAGTATGTCCGAGTCACCTTTTAAGCAGGGGCTTGCAGCCTGAACGCAGTTCTCTAGCTTAGTTCTCACTAAGGATGTGTATACTGTGGTGAACATGGTAGTATCTAACTTAGTGAATGTCCTTTTTAAAGCCCAGAGGGTTCGAAACCCCTTGGGTGCGACCTCCCGGCAATGGGCCGTCGTCTTAAGATCATTACTCACTGTCACCCCTAGATCCTTATGAGACAGAACTACTGGTAATGACACATCCCCTATGTTGTACGTATTAACCATTGAATCCCCCAAGTGCATGTAGACACACTTTTCCGAGTTGATAGGCATCAGCCACTCCTTAGACCAGTTTATCATATTATTTAAGTCTGCCTGAAGAGTAAATGCGTCTTTGTCAAAAAAATTCATTACTTTCGATCAAGTATAAATGACCAATTAATGTAGTATAGTACTCCGAATATTGTGTAATGATGGTGTTATGAGAAATGTTATATTTTACGTAAATTTACTGTGAAAACACTTGAAAAAGATAATTAAAAATTATTCTGACCAACTGAAAATAAGAACAAATTTACAAGAGAATAATAGACTGTTTTTTTCCTAATTTCGGACTTTTCAGTAATACTCATCAAAGACTCAATCCTACGAGATCAAACATGCATCTCTCATGAACCTCTATACGTTCACATTTGTAGTCTAGGATCAATCAATCCACGCTCCCAACTTTATATAATTTGCTACTTAAGACAGATCACACTCAGAATTATTAGTACGTTACTATCTTAGAGTTGATTAATTTTGCTTCATCAGAATATACTTCTCAATAAAGCTTTTAGAGAATCACCAGGCCTAAAGACTCTGAATTGAGCTATTATTCCTGTTTCAGAACACAAAATTAGCTGAGCCAAAATTTTAATTTAGCAGTTTTTTGAAAGATATCTAGCATAGCGAAATTATTCTTTCAATCAATACAAAATATCCTTACCCTTCAAGCCTCTATCACGAAAAAGCAGATTATTAAAAATAAATATTAGTAATAAAAGAGACATCTATCGAACATTATACGTAAACTGTTGAAAGTAGTGCAAAAGTCAACATAAAATTAACATTTAATCTGTTACTTCAAAGTCTACGGTTAAGTTGACTGTGTAAAAATAGTACTAGTCTATCATACTTATTGGTTGAAATGATTTAATGGATGCTTAATTAATACAAAGTACTAAGTGAATGATATTTTGATGTTCAAGAAAATAGGTAAATGAGAAACTGTGAGATAATCCCATTCATTTGCATTTTTGCACGGAAATGACCAACATAGATTATTATTATTATTATTATTATTATTATAAAACTTTCGTACTAACAACTGTCCAATCAAATCTTTTGCAACAAAACCTTTTTCATGCTGATAGTTTCAGTTACAAACAGACCGTAATTTGTCGAATTATCGGCCATTTTATTCTCTAAGATACAATTTTTTTACTATTGCATGATATATCTTTATAAAGTACATAAAAACTACTTATAAGTATTATGTTGTAAGCTAAAAGTAGATAATTATGTAAAGAAGATATTTTTTTACATTCTAAACTACGCTAGTCATCTGAGGTTCTGACAATCAGGACGTTTTTTTTGTAAACGCATACAAATTCAATTTGATGTGTGTATAGTACAGTTATTTGAATTGATATCTTAGATAGTAATAATAATAATGATAATGATAATATATTTGTTCTTACAAATTAAATTATTTGTATACTTAGTTGGTTTGATTAAGGATTCTAGAGATATGACATTAAGTTTGGCTTTAATGTGTAGCTTCCGTTAAACAAGTTCTATCATATGAAACTAAACGTAACCGTTTTTGCTTTGATATTATTAATATACACTAGTTTGATGTAAGCTGTATAATTTCAAAAAAAATAGTCGATATTTGTGAGCCTATACTTGGGAAATTAAAAATCACAATATATATTACTGTTATGATTTATAAGTAAACATATAGACAATAATGTGAACAATATTTGATACTTACGTCAATACAACCTTCAAATGTACATTGTTTTACTTAGATCCAAACTATCTGTTCGTGATTAATTTAACTGGTAATTATTTTTGTTAGATTGTATTTTAGCATTAATTTTTATATAAATATACTTCATTAATGTACCAGATATATACTACATTAACCATTGTTTAACCAGTTTTATTTCAATAGACTGAATACATGATTTACAACAAGTTGTTAAAAAGACCAGTTCAATAACAAAAAAATACTATTACACATAAAGCATAGCTTACCAGTTCATTTTGATTAAAACAATAATATATTGTAGAAGTATTCAACTATTTCCGATATTTACAATGTTGTTTTATCTAAGGTTATAGAATGTAGAAAATCTTAATATTGTAATTATTCTGATCAGATTACTTTTAAACTATTTAAATAATACAGTTTAAGATATGTGGATAATCAGTATCTTTATAGATAAAACTGATGAATACTTGTTTTACTCCTCTGTGAATCAAGATAGTATTAATCCTTTATAACGAATGTTTTCAAACAAATAAAAAATCATTAGTATTAGTATCAAAGAGTTATTCCTTGTTTTTACTTGTATAGATAATATTCAATATTTGTATTGGAAAGCAATAGTATTATGAAAATGAAGACATGAATCCATTATGTAAACAAACTAATGAGGTTATAAAATTGATTATGATATTCAAATTGAACTTGTCCAGTTCTACACCTTTACTCTTGAAATACAAGTTTTTTTTATTTATAAATTAGTTCCCTTTTAATAATAATAATAATAACAGTTTTGTTGTAGAATTGTTTCTGTCTATTATAAAAATGTGTATTCACATTCAAGTAGACATACATACATGATTTTGGTATATGTTAGTGCATGAATGAATGCAAGAATAGTTAAACTCCCTTTCTCTAAGATTACAAGATAAGTAAAAAACTAAGTAAATTAATCATAACCCTTAACTATGATTGGTTCGCTTCAAATTAATAAACATTATTGGTAAACTTATAAAAATTATACATATTTACTGAAGATATATATATACATATATATATTCAGTTTAGTACAAGAACGAATAGTGTTTTCGAATAAGTTCACTCTCTTAATATGATATATGTTTCACAAATTGAAATCATGAGTCAATTGAAGCTAGATCACCATGTAAAACTTGGAAGCACTGAACGGCCGTTTCGTCCTAGTATGGGATTCCTCAGCAGTGCTCATCCACGATCCCATACTAGGAAGAAACGGCCATCCAGTGCTTCCAGGTTTTCCATGGTGTTCTACCTTCAATTGACTCATGATTTCAATCTGTGAAATTTCTAAAATTTCCACAAATCCCTTCTGATGATAATGTATGTTGTTCAGTTTTAAATTTAATGCATATTTATAGCAACTCTCCTACAATCACTTTCGATTATGGTTAACGTTTGTCAAGCTCTTTTACTAACATATTTAACAAACAATTTTATTCAAACAGTACAATTTGTCTATTTTTTGTACTATTATGATCAGTACCTTATCTGTATAAACATGTACTCTTGATCATATGATAGCTACGCATATATATCTCTCTCTAGCTTAAATGGTGATAGCTTAAATATCGCTGATGAATCATTATCTTCCCCATGTATATATGTACTCGAATCCTATTAAAAGTCCTTACCTTGTTGTGCCCTTATTCTATTTGATTATAAATTTGCCTCTGTATTTGCTCGCATACGCTTAGATTCGCCTCTGCTCCGAATTCGCTTGAAGTACTTGTAAATTTGTTATCTGTGCTGTGCGCTAATAAACTGTAGTTGCCGCTTCTTATTGCCTTTTGATTTCGTACACCGTTAGGTTTTACATAATAACAGTTACCAAGGGGATTGATTAGCGAAACTAAGCCACTGTATGTTTCTACTACAGAATATTCGAAGTTATGTGAAGGAGCGAGGAAAGGGTAAATACAAGATATTACTAAAACGGAATAAAAGAAACTACTAGGCGAGACTGTATGTCTGTGGTTTCTTTCTGAAAGGATTGGATCAATTAATCCTGAGTTTTGATTGATAATCTGGATATTTTACCTCAGGACACTAGTTTAGAATTGGAAACTGTTATTGTTAACTATGAATGACATACAAAGACGTTTAATCATCACACAAAACACATCTTGAGTGATCGTAGATAACATATTCTTAACAAACATTTAGAAGGATGGTTTAAAAGTTTAGAATAATCAATACTGGTCGTTAATGCCACTACCGTGTGGTGGTAGTTAAGGAGATAGAATATAAGTGGACGGAAATGTGAACAGCAGTGATAGTTATAGCAACGAAGAACGACGAAGCTTGAGATTATTGATGGAGGATTTGCAAATGAGGTAATTAATGTATGGTTTTCACATTTGATGAAAGAACTCTGTAATTTTGTATTAAACAGTAAATTGGTTGTCCACACCTGAGCTCTCGTTCATTACAATCGCGTAAATAAAAAAATTGACTTTTAAGTGTTTCGAAAATGAAGTAAGATAAAAAAAAACAAAGCAATTAAAATGTAACCAAAGAATGCCTATTTTTTTATGTTCAAATAGCGTAGAATCAAATGAGTTTGTTGGAGGTAAATATACATCAGCTACCATATTACTGTTTATTTCTGAGTGATGTGCACCTACAACTTTGCATAAAGCAGCACTGCAGCAAGTTAGCACGTTCATTAGCATCACAATTTCTTCATGTCTTATGTTTGTATGAATAATTTTAGGAAGTGCATAAATAATAATAAAACAATATTCATTTTCCATGACGAACTGACATCAGTTTTACAATAATTTATAATCGGAAACCGCTGTTAGTGTTTCGTAACATCTTGGTTCCTTACAACACTGTACATTCACTATTCCAGGTTGTACCTACTTCAGCGTTGACATTTTTAAAACTCACTAGTCTTAATTTTTAGATAAGATTCAAGAATTTAGCTAAACTTTAAACTAGGATGATGCAACTACTTTTCATTGCAACATAATTTCTAAGGAAATGTTTTCTCAAATATAAACTGCATATAAAAAGAAGATAATGAATGAGTTCAATATCTAATAGCATTAGGAACTTATATTGGTACTATAACCTCAAAACTTATCTCCATAAAAAATTAATCAATGTCAATAGAACTGAACTGACTTATGGTTTAAAATTCTAAGTAGATAATGATCATATTAAACAATAGGGATTTTAAGCATTTAGTTATTTATTTTTACTTAACAAAATACTATACAAAAACTTTATTACATCCAGAAAAGTTCTTTTATATTGTCGTACAAGTCTACTATTGATGTATACGCTTGTTTCTATGGTGGTCTAGCTTCAATTGACTCATGATTTCAATCTGTGAAATTTCCAAAATCTCCACAAACCCCTTCTGATAATAATCATTTGCTCACTAGTGACTGACTTCAAGAGATACTCCTGGAGTTCTAGTGACTATCCGTTATCAGTGGAGTTCAACCAGGTCTGTTGTGAGATATCAACTCACTGAAGACAATGGTATACTATAGCTCAACTTCGTGGATTGGTTGAAGTTAGACATTAACACAGTTGGATGCCGGCTCAGTGATCTAGTTTTTTTAAGCATCTGGCGCGAGACTGGTGGGCCCTGGGTTCGAGTCTCGCAGGATGCGGGATCGCGGACGCGCACTGCTGAGGAGTCCCAGACTAGGATGAGACGGTCGTCCAGTGCTTCCAGGTTTTCCATAGTGTTCTAGCTTCAATTGACTCATGATTTCAACCTGTGAAATTTCTAAAATCTCCACAAACCCCTTCTGATATTTATTTTTATTTAACAAAATACTACACAAAAACTTTATTACATTCAGAATAGTAATTTTAATTGTCGTACAAGTCTATTATTGATGTATACGCTTGTTGTATGAGTATCTAAAGTAACTACTTAAATAAGAAAACTAAAAGTGAATAAGAAGCTTTTACTGGTTAATCATATTGAAATCTTTTCACAAATTATTCATGAAAATTAAATTATTCTTTCTTTGGTAAACGAAGAGAAATTATGACAAATAGTATGTGTCTAATGTATCAAAAAATCACCATTCTAATTAAAAACAACAAGAAATAGACAATAATTTTTAACCAATTAGATTTTTATATGAATTTCCGATGAAATCATAGTTAGTAAATGACTTTTGAATGATGCCAAAGTAACCTTGAGAATATCTACCTAGTTGCTAGGTTTAAAAGAGAGTTATAAATTAATGTAAAGAATAAAGATTAGGATTTAGAGTTAAAAGTTTGGGTTCCGAATTGAAGTAGATTATTCATCATAAACTGGCACGAAGTATAACCGAATGGATAAATGAATTTCACACCGAAATACTAGACTTTTTATCAATAATCCTAATGGTTTGTTCATAAATTATAGTTCTGCCAAGTTTTCTAGATTCAGTTTATATAGTTGTAAATCAGAGCATTATATGAACGAAATCTTCTTTTTAGTAAAGATATCAATGAATTAACAACTTTATTGAAAATATGTAAAAGTTATTGTTTGATAAGACAACTAACATTATCAACAATGTATATAGTTACATGTTGACCAGATCCAGTTTTTCCGTTTAGATGGCCAAAGGCATTTTTCATAAGAAATAATTATTTTGATGAAGATTCGTTAGCTACTGGAACTATATGTCTGGTAAATTGGTTATATAATTGTAGTTATATACTTTGACATTATAAGAGATATTCCTGAAATTAAGGACGAATATAATTATGTTTGTTTAAAATTAAATTAGACGTTAAAACACAAATTTTGAGATAAAATTAACTATTGAAATTCTGTGAACATGTTGTTTTTATTTAGTCATCCTATCCTTTTGAGCCATATTCTTACTCCCCTAATAGCTCATACTCTGTAGATTAATAACATGATAGTGATATTATCACACTGTCTATCGAATAATAAAGTCTAATGTCTTCAAATATACATATAAGTAAACAAAAAATCGATTGTCAAATGTAAAGAAAAAGCTAAAAAGTATTTAGTATCTATAGACTTCAGGTATTTAACTTTACTATGACAGATTCAAATTTATGATCATGAAGTAAAGGATAAGAAAGCTAGAATTTGTTGTAAAAATGCAATCCAGATGGTGAATGATTCCCAGTTAAGTGAATCTGTGTTACAAAGTCACCTATTGTATATGAAGTTAGTTCGTAATGGAATTCTGAATGTTGTTCAACATCTACGAACAAAAAGATGTAACTTGATCGCTCATAAAAATGACATCGAAAAAGAAACTAACTTCATTTTAATAGTGTATTTGTAAATTTTGTAATCATCTTGAATATCTTACCCAAAAAACTTTACTCATCATAATCAACTTCATCACGGTCAAATAGTTCCAATATATCGTTCCTCTCCCCCCCATGAGAGTTAAATTCCTTTTGTGTAAAAAATTAAGTGAAAACACTATTCCAGAGATATTACATTGTTAAATAAAAAAACAACTATTTAGATTTAGATGGTGGTTGGAGGTAGTCAACAGGAAACCCTGAATCCGGGTTCGTGCTACTTGGCACTCGTCAGCAAGGTGTACTTGTAATCTTGAGGGAACTGGTACTCCCTGGCGGATTCGATCTCGTGTCACCCAGCTTCACAGTCAGAGACGTTACCAGTGAGCTATCCGAGCCGTGACTTCAGGATTATTAATTAATTTCAGAAGGGGTTTTGTGGATATTATACTAATTTCAATAGTTGAGATCATAAGTCAA